CTATTTTTTTTATATATTATATTTAATTTAATATTCAATTGCATTTCTTCATTTTTGCATTCGATTTAAGGAAAGGAATATAGTTTATAATATTCTCAAAAACAAAACAAATCTTTGATATGCATATATTTCACTTTAAAACTATGAATACATTTTTGTTTATAATTAAAAAATTTGATTTGTTACACATTTTTTAATTATTTCTATATTAACAAGCGATCATGATTTTAAAAATCATAAAATGAAAATTAATATAATCATTGTGAATACATTTTTCATCTTGTGATTTGTAATACATTTAAAAAATCCTTAAATGAAAATCAATAATGAAATTTAGAATACTTTTTTGGGCAAGTTGCGAATTTTGAATAGTTGAATTTCTATTAAATTAAATCGTAATATAAATCGATTTTGGAATTTCGTTAAATGTGGCCAAATCAATTGGCTGACTGAGTACTTAAGATAACAACAACCTATCACATAAAATACCATTTCACCATCCCATCCTACGAAAGCTAAGCAATAAATATAAATTACTGGAACAGACTTCGTTCATCATTGAGGCGGCACGATTTTCATGCGCCACGCATTCTTGATCATGTCGGCCGCCTTCTCGGCAATCATGATAACAATTGCGTTCGTGTGGCCCGCCGGCACGTGCGGCATAATGGATGCATCTACCACGCGCAGGTGCCGAATCCCATGGACTCGCAGCTCCGGGTCCACGACAGCCGTGGCATCCGTGGACGGCCCCATCTTGCAGGTGCCCGACTGATGCTGCAAGCTGGAGCCGTACAGCCGCAGGCAGCAGCGCCAGTAGTCGTTGCTGGCGAAGATCAGATGCTCACAGCCCGGAAAGGGACGCGCATGGAATCGCGTTCCCATCTTCTGCATGGACTTGGTGCGCACTATCTTCAGGATCTGTAAAAAAGTTAACAGTGTTCAGAGAAGACTCCACCATGTCTATATAAACGGAAGTTGGTACCATTTCGATGCCCTCGATCATGGCGCGCACATCATCCGGATGCTGCATAAAGTTCGGCTCCATGCGCGGCCAGTGGAAGGGATTGCGGCTGCGCAGGGAGATGCGTCCAGTGCTCTTGGGGCGCAGCAGAACAGGCACCAGGCCGAAGGTCTCCTTGTTCTGCATGTCGGAGTACATTTTCTCATAGAACTCATCCGTGATGCCCAGCAAATCGCGCAGGGTGCCAAAGCGATCGCCGCTGAGCGAGCCAGCGCCCAGGACGAGCTCCATATCCGCATAGTCCTTGGCTGAGAATGTTGACATGAGAGTTAAACTACAGATTAGACCAGATGAATGGAATGTCTTACCAAAGCTGGAGCTAGGCGTGCGCACAAAGGCGAAGGCTTCGGCGCCGCCAGGAATCGTGTAGGGACCCTGGCCGGAGAAGATGTAGCGAAAGATGTCCGTGGGATTGAGGAGCCGTGCATCGTTGACTGTGGAATCGTTCACCATGAACACCAGGCCATTGAGTGTGATGTGATCCTGCAGATTGTAGCCCACTGGCAGGTCCTGCAGCACCGGTATGTTGTGCTCCTCCAGGTGCGCACGTGGCCCCACGCCGGACAGCAGCAGCAGCTGCGGACTGGCTATGGCGCCTGCAGAGAGGATGACCTCCTTGCTGGCGCGCACCACATATCGCTGGCGGTGCTTGGTAAACTCCACGCCCACGGCCATCTTGGTATCCGGATCGATGAGCAGCTTGGTGACCCAGCTCTTCATCGAGATGTGCAGATTGCGCCGCTGCACCACGGGTTGGATGAAGGCTTTGCTGGTGCTGCAGCGCCGGCCGTTGCGGATGGTCGCCTGGGCTCTGGCAAAGCCCAGCAGCTTCTCGCCATTGGTATCGGTTATATCGTAGCCCAGCTCGCGGCCCGACTTGAGGAAGGCCTTCAGCTGGCGGGACTGATAGTCCGTGTACTGCACATCCAACGGCCCGTTGCGCCCGTGGTAGGGCGACTTGTACAGGTCGGGGATGCCGATGCGCTCGGACTTCTTAAAGTACGGCAACACCTCCTCGTACGACCAGCCCGTGTTATTCGCGGCCGCCCAGCCGTCGTAGTCCCGGCGGTGGCCGCGCGTATACAGCATAAAGTTGATCAGACTGGTGCCTCCGATGCCGCGTCCCTTGGGCCAGTTGCAGACGCCGTTGCGCAGACCCCGGCAGGCGTTGGGCGTGGCGTCCGCCTTGTAGCCCCAGTTGTAGCGCGTGGTCTGGGTGAGGGCCGCCGTCAGGGGCACGTCGCTGATGAAGGTCTCCTGGTCGCCCGCCTCCAGGAGCAGCACACTCGCCGTCCTAATCTCGCTCAGTCGATTGGCCAGCACACAGCCCGCCGACCCGGCGCCCACAATGATGAAGTCATACTCCGGCCGGAAGGCCGTGGTGTCCGGAATGCGTGTGTTCAGCAGCGATGTCTCGAAATCGCGCACCAGATCCACCAACAGCTGGCCCCGAGCGCAGTCCCAGCACAGGCAGAGTATCAGCACGTAGGCCAGGCGCATCTTCGGCAGCAACGGGAAACGTATCTGCAAGATATGCTAATTAGCAAAACGTTCTAGATACTCAACGCATTAGCATTCGCCTCAAAATTGCAAACGGCCTTCGATTTCACTTTAATTCTGGCCAAAAATCGCAAAATTCACGCACCAGCGGCTATTCTCCGATATCCGCTGATTATTCCCCTTTTTTTAGCTCAAGTTCAACAGGTTTCCGATTACATCGATGCACAACAGCAACAGTAACAACAACAAAAACAACAGCAGCAATAAAAGTTTAAGTGTGCAAAAATAAATAAACAAAAGAAACAAGAAAGCCAAACAATAACAAACATGTGGCCAGCTGAACCGGTTGCCGATCAAAACAGAAAAGCTGAAAAGTGAGCAAGCAGACAAAGAAGAAGAAGCAGAAGAGGCGAGAGCCGAAAAAAAAACTCACAAAATAATTCGAGCGCAATCCGGGCAAAAATACATTTGCCGCATTTGACGTTGACCCATAAACGCGTTCGCGGATGTTCATGGAAGCCAAACGAAACATTAACAAAAAAAAAAAAATCAATAAATAAGCACAAAAGCTGCAAGAGCAACGACTTCACAATACGCTAAAAAAAAGTTAATAAAGAATATTTATTTAAGAAAATATACTTATGTTGCCGTATGATAAAAAAAAACTAAAAAGTCGAATTTGATTTGTGTTTGTAGTTAGTTTAGTTTCTGAACTGAAAAAAAGTATGCGGCTCATAATTAATATATAATTAAATATATAACTCAAGGCTCGGAAAAAAAAACATAATTGCATGCGTAGAATAATTTATATAATTCAATTGCTTATTTAATAACAAAAAAAAGCAAATTGTGGACTTAAGCTTAAAGAATACGCTTGGAGTGGAGCAATTAATAAAAAAATAAATTTTTGGTATTGTGCTTTATATAATATATGTATACTGAAATTATTTCTGCATAATAATCATTATATTTACTTTAATTAAATTTAATAGTACAAGCGAGTGACTATTGAAGAAATAAATTAGACGTGAATCTTTATCATGGGAAAATGCGTTTACGGAATATTCATATTATATTTTAATAGGTGAACAAATTAATGTATATATAAATATATTTTTTGGCTATAATAAAAATTAGTTAATTTTATTT